CTCCTCCTCCTACTCCTCCTCCTACTCCTACTCCTACTCCTCCTCCTCCTCCTACTACTCCTACTACTACTACTACTACTACTACTACTACTACTACTACATGCTGATGAGGCGAGGCAGTGGCTGCTGAGCTCTTATGCGACCTTGTGTTGCTACTGCCGGACCCCAGACGCATGGGTATGCAGGGGTTTCGAGTTATCCTGTCTGTCAGCTGCAGCAAAGGCAGACTCCAAAGTTCTCAGGGGCTTCGTCCGAAACTTGGGCAGGACCAGGTCCCTCGCCATCTTCTTCGAGATGCACTGGCGCAGCTCTGTGGCGAGGCAGGCTTCGTACGGTTCAGGCACGGCAGACTGACGGGTTTCTACGGAGGAGGAGGAGGCTGCTGAGGAGCGCGCGGCTCCTAGCAGCTCGAAGAAGGCAGCCAAGGCGAAGGCTGCGAAAGCAGTGAAGGCGACCTCAGCCTCAGCCACCTCGGCAATGCTGCCGAGGTCGCCGCAATCCACCAAGAGTCGTGTTGCTATGCGGGTCACGTCATTTTCTGCTGGTCCCTTTGCAGTCGGCTGGAGGCATCTGAATGACAAGATTGAAGCCATCCCACTGAGCCGGTCCAGCTGCAGAGGCTGAAGCCCTTCCGACAGAGCTGCCTTCCAGACTTCCCCATGCCTTGCAGAGGTGAAAGCAAGCCCAGCTTCTTGGCCTCCTTGGATGCCGTGCTCAACGTCATGGCGGAAACGAAGGCCCTCTCCTAAGTTGATGGGTGCCAGCATGTTTGTATGATCATCTGGGCCAACAAGCCTCATTTCATAGAGTAACCTGCCTTTCCCTCGGGGTCCGGCCATGGCAGCACATAGCAAGGTAGTGCCTTATCTTACGTTTCCTGGCCGAAGCCTACTTTACGTCATCATGCCCCATTCTATATACTCTCCTTCACCTCACCTCGCCTTTCCGCACATTATCCCACCACCTCTCTTCTTCGCCTGTCTTGTCGTCTCCTCTTGTTCTTCTTCTCGAAGTTCGTGCCGATACAGGAGTTTCAGAAAAAAGTGGGGCCTTGTAAAGGCCCTGCTGAGTGGGGTCCTCCCCGCTCAAAGACCCCTTAAGTTTCTGAAGCTCCCCATATGTCGTGCTGCCACCCCGATGCATCTGAGGAGCAGGCGAAGCCGCCTCTGTCTCAACAGGCAGGGTGCTGTGCTAATGCGTACTGTGGGGACCTGAATAGTTACTCATGTTGCTCTTTAGGGCTCCTTACGACTAGTACAAGTATAGTAAACTGTACCCTGAAACCCCATGCTAATTTTGAATCCCCATTAGTAGGCCGTTTTCGGCTTTCTTGTAGTAGAGGGTTCCACGTGTCGCCTGGCCTTGTGGCACTAGCAGAGGGAGAGTCAAGATGTACCTCTCTCCAAATTCCTCTATGAGTTCCGCTCCGCACGACGTACTAGTTACATACATGCTACGTGCCCACATGCAGGAAGTGTACATGTTGTGATGAAGGACTGGGCGTGGGTTGTAGACAGTATACTCTGTACGAGTACATGCGCCGACCGGCGACGATGTCCCAGTGACCCGAGTTCGTACATGGCCGCAGCCAGAGGCATTGCGACGAAGCGTGAAGCCTCTCGATGCTCCTCGGAATGCAAATCCAGTGCATGCTTCTGGCAAGCAGCTACAAGTGATCGCGTTTAATTTGACGCGATCGATCAGCCAATCAACCAAGTTTGCAAGCAATCCATGTATAGGTGTTTACAAACGCACATTCGTACATACATGTATGCATGCCTGCATACATGTGCGCACACACACACACACCATATATATATATATATATGTGCACATGTAAGTAGAAGTATAAGCAAGACTAAGTATGAACCGAAATATAGGTGTAGATAGTACAAGTACCTGTGACTGTCGCCTGCCTGAGCCAAGGCTACCCAGGCCAGATGCATCTCTCGTGCGCAAGAGTCGGCAACATTGAATAGCAGATCATACCGGATCTTTATGCATGTCTGTCGGACCAGAACCATTGCTTACTGCCACTTCAGTGAAGCAGGTGTTAGGAAGACATGCAAGATATTCAGAGTTTCCCTGGCGTCAGGCAGAGTCGCTGCAACTGCTGCACCAACATCTTGTGGATGCTGGGGGTTCATCCCTGGACTACGGGCCGATGGACCGTCTCTCTGCTCCAGATATGGTTGAACGTGCTTAAAGATCTATTTGGTTTTGCGATTTTGCAGAGTCCAACACACAATGATCGAGAGGGCCTTGGGAAACGCAGTCTCACTGAGGTCTGCTGGCTTTGAGACCCCTGCTGCTTCTGAAACTGCAGGCCTGCCTTTCAAAAGATTTCGGCTCGTCTTCCTGCAGCTTTGCAAACCCTCCTCTCGAAGTTCATCTTTGTCGAACGCAACATGTAGCTGTCACGAAAGCCAGTCTTATGCTTCCCTGCATAAACCCATGGATCATAAACTCATTACATTGGCACACGATGAAACTGCCGGTATTGCCCCTCACGCATCATCGGCCATGTGGTTGGTTTCTCTAGTCTTTGGGCAGTTCGAGTTTCCAACAGCATTGTTTTTCATGATTAAGGTTGTGACTATACTATACTCTGTCATTGTTGCTGTTGCCGTGTTTTTGCTGTCGATGCATCGTCGTCATCGTTGCTGCGTTGCTACGTGCGGATGCTACTGATGCTGCTGCTGCTGCTGCTGCTGCTGCTGCTGCTGCTGCTGCTGCTGCTGCTGCTAGTGGTGGTGTGGCGGCGGCACTGGTGGTTTAGGTGGCGATGGCGGCGGTGGCGGTGGTGGTAGTCCTGGCCGGCAGGCCCTGCAGGTGTTGGCTGTGTTCTGGTCGTGGTTTTTGCAGCCGCTGTTATCGTGGTTGTTGTTGTTCTTCGCTGCAGATGATGATCGTGCTTCTGCTGCCGCCTGCTTCGACTCGTTGTTGCTTCGGCGGAAATGTCTTGGGTAGTCTTCATAACTCAGATTCCTCTGGGATCCCAACAAGAGTATGGCGATATTCCCCTCGTCGTCTCCTCGTCGTCATATTTTTCCCGTGTCTATAACAACTACTTCTCCTTCTCTTGCTCTTGCCAATTGCTCTTGCTCTTGCTCTTGCTCCTACTACTACCACTACTACAACTACTACCACAACTAACTAACTAACTAACTAACTAACTAACTAACCAACCAACGAACTAACTAACTAACTGCCTATCTAACTACCTACCTACCTACCTACCTACCTGCCTGCCTACCTACCTACCTACCTACCTACCACCTACCTACCTACCTACCTACCTACCTACCTACCTACCTACCTACCTACCCCTGCCCCTGCCCCTGCCCCTGCCCCTACCCCTGCCCCTACCCCTACCCCTACCCCTACCCCTACCCCTACCCCTACCTACCCCTACCCCTACCTCCTATCCCTACCCCTATCCCGACCACCGATATGGTGGCCCAGACTCAAACCGAAGGGCCGCCTTCGAGGCCCAGGCCCCGGAGCCCCGAGCCGAAGGCGGACCAGAGCCTCGCCTCTAAGGCGAAAACCCGGGCCCGGGCCCGGAGCCGGGGCC